AAAAGCACTTTTGGGTCACATGGAAGCCGTTTGCCAGGTGAGTCGCTGGTGAGACACTCGACAGGGATGTGACCTCGGCCGGAAAGACAGATCAAAACAACATTGCATCCAGGCCACTCACTCGCTGCTCCGTCGCCAGAGGACAATTTTTCGCAGCGTGATGATGAGACACACCTTGGCAGGCGAATCCCTACACGTGCGACATTTCCCTCAGAGCCTTTGATGTTGGCCGCAACCCCGGAAGTCGGGTGGATTAACAACAGGGAGCGTGGCAGCCTCAGCCCACACGGCTTGGCACTTTGGCTGGCATCACAGGACGCCCGGCGAGGAAACTGAGTCAGGCTAGGCTGACCTGGAGGAGGTGGGCAGATTCCCTGAAAGGGGAACCACCCCGGGCTGGAAATGAAGGCGGGAAGAATCCAAAAATCAGGAGGATCGTCTTGGCAACTTTTCTGACTCAAAATTGTATTGTTTAGTTTGTGTCTGTGCGTGTATTATCAACAAAAATGCAAAAGAAAAAAAGGAAAGAAAAAAATTGTGTACAGAAACAAGAGAGAAAAAAGACCCAAATATCAAATAAATCTAACATTAAACATAAAAGAATCCATCCTGGTTGGATGCTGTAAAAAAAATATTTTTTTAAAAAAAATCACTGAAAAGTTCTTCCTTTACATAACGGGTCTACAAATAGGTGTAAGCTTTTCCGTCCTTATTTAACAAGAATATATTACTATATAAAATAAGCAAATATTCCAGAGGAGGGGATCTCTGTCTGATAATCAAATTGACCCAACATCTAATCATTGGATAGACAAACACACAGGGAGAGAGAGAGAGAGAGAAAGGCAGACAGACGATAACAGATAGATGATTGATAGATAGATAGATAGATAGATAGATAGATAGATAGATAGATAGATAGATAGATAGATAGATAGATAGATAGATAGATAGATAGATAGATAGAAACAGATGAAAGACGGAGAAAGGCAGAGAGAGACACGAAGATTATAAAGAGAGAAACAGATGAAAGACAGAAAGGCAGAGACAGATTATAAAGATAGATGATAGATAGATAGATAGATAGATAGATAGATAGATAGATAGATAGATAGATAGATAGATAGATAGATAGATAGATAGATGAAAGACGGAGAAAGGCAGGGAAAGACACGAAGATTATAAAGAGATAGAAACAAATGAAACACGGAGAAAGGCAGAGACAGATTATAAAAGATTAGATAGATAGGTAGATAGATAGATAGATAGATAGATAGATAGATAGATAGATAGATAGATAGATAGATAGAAACAGATAGATGAAAGACGGAGAAAGGCAGAGAAAGACACAAAGATTATAAAGAGATAGAAACAGATGAAAAATGGAGAGAGGCAGAGACAGATTATAAAAGATTAGATAGATAGATAGACAGACAGACAGACATAGATGAAAAATAGAAAAAAATTCATAAATTGTATTCAAAGACATTCAATGTTGCAAGCCGCAACTGGATTCCTCGGACGCCTGGTGTGGCTGGATACACAACAAATAACAAAATATAGATCATCTTATTGTATTACTTGCAAACGACGAGAAGGCACCTGTTCCCCCGCTTAGATTTGGGCTCAACTGTGGTCCTAAGTGAAGGACTTACCTGTGTTTCTTTTTTCTTTCTCTTTGAACTTCTCTTTCCACAATGGATGGCATTTAAAGCTGCTCTTATATCTTTAAAAAAAAAGAAAAAAACCCAATTAATTAAACCTTAGTTGATTAATTACATACCTTACTTAAGTGATTGCATCTGGATGCCTTTGCATATTGAAAAGTCTGTTGTTATTATAGGATTATTCCTGCATGGCTGCAGGAAAACACTTCTGCAAAGAACAGAATGCTTTCCCTAAATTTGCACTCCAGGTTTTAAAATCTTTTCTTTAATTATTATTTTTCTGGTGCTCAAGTCCTGTAATCAGGAAACGCTGAAAGAACTGGGCTTTTTTTTTTTTTTAAGGCTTCAATGAAAGCAAAGCTCTTTTGTAGCCATGCTGTGTCAAAAGCAGCACCGTCAGCTACGGAAAAATCTAGAGACAGGAATAAAAAATAAAAAGAAAGAATTTTTTTTCCCACTGGATTGTGAATAAAAAGGGCTAGGCTGCCCCTATAAAGCTGGAACAAGCATTAATGGTTATAGAGAGACCCCCTAAAATGACAGCCCAGTCTTTTTAAACTTGTCAGTTTTAAGATGGGTGGACTTCAACTCCCAGAATTCCCCAGCCAGCAAAACAAAGCAAAGAAAAGCTGGCTGGGGAATTCTGGGAGTTGAAGTCCACTCGTCTTAAAACTGCCAGATTTGAAAAAATTGTGCCTGATCATCTTTGTCTAGTTGTAGGAACTCAGTGGCTTCACTGTAGCTTGCAGAGGCATCTAATACAAGCCATCCATCCCTTGTTGCTACACAAATGATGTGATTTAGGGTTAAACCTTTTACAGCAAACCAACATTTAGACCAGGGGTAGTCAACCTTGGCTCTTTTATGACTCCTGGACTTCAACTCCCAGAATTCCTGAGCCAGCTGTACTGTGCTGGCT